ATGTGTATATATGTATATATATATATATATATATATATATATATATCCCAGAACTCTGAACATCCCACAGAGCTATTATTAAATCCATTATTAAAAAATGGAAAGATAATGCCACTATAGTAAACTTGCTAAAAAAAAAAAAGTCCACCAAAATGGTACTTTTGCCTCATAAAACATACTTGATTTGGGTGAGAGTTGAAGTATTCAGTGTTTCTTTGAGGTTTATTATGCAACAAAATGTTGGTTAACAGCTCATTTTGAACATTCTCTCCAAAATGTTTCTGGGGTTTAAAATACTTCTGCAGGAAACATAATTCTTCAGGTAGCTGCGCTTCTCTTTCCTCTCCGAGGAATCTTGTTGCCTTGCTTTCTGAAAGGCAGCACAGATGTGACTCATTCTTTCATGTTATCTTGTTTAGGCAGATGCTGCAAGCTGCAACAAATCCCACTTTGTCTTCGAGAGAGGAATGACAAAGAGGAACAGCTCTGCAGATCTGGTGAGCATCCACAGGTTCTGTAGGTGTGGTTGATGTAATGTGCATTTTGATTTTATTCCATCATTCTTATATAAATCCAAATGTTACAACTTTATTTAAAGCCAGACCATTTCAGGACAATTTAAAAAGAGGACTCAAGTAACGTTTACAAATAACATCTCTTAAAATACACAAGCAGGGAATATGACAAGTGCAGCTTCTGAGAAACATTCTATACAACCTTCTGATGAATCAACATAGCACATACACACGTGTGGGGTGGAGGACCAGGCTTTTTGGTAGCAATACAGAATACAGCCTGGTAAGTACTAGGTAACACGTCACTCTCAGCCTTATGCCTGTAGGTACTCAGTATATGCATACTAGGTAGGAATCAGATATCTACATGCCAAGTACATAATTATAAGATGGGTAACGGATACGTAACGGTAAGTACCTAGTAATTACCCAGTATGTTCTTCATAAATATCTGAGAAGTTAAGAGGTCCCTGGTAAGTACCAAATAACTACCTGGTACACACCTGGTTCATGCCTAATAAGTACAGGGAAACGAGTAACTTCATTAAACAGCCTGTAGGTACCTGGTTTGTACCCGGTACTTACGGAGCTGTATTAGGTTTTGTTACCACCTTTTCTGGTGCACAGTACTAGTTTTACTGTACACTGTGTGCCAGAATGAGAAACAGAAATAGAGAACATCTGCAGGTGTTCAAAACAACTGGGCTCTGTTTTCTGTTCGTATTGTTTTAACCTTCTGACAGTGCAATGGCAACAAGCCTGCATAAACTACTTGTGTCTGTGAGAGGCATCGCCTGACGCCTGATGTGTTTTTGTCAACAAAGTCTAGTGCACGTGATCCATAATTTAGGCCAAGTGGCAAAAATTCAACCTGATAACAGTTGTGGCACTTGGGGGTTAAGATAAAACAGAAAATGGAAACGACAGCGCAGAGTACCGAAGAGCCCTAGTGGGGAAAAAAAAAAAGAGCCTGAAGTTTTGCCATTAGAAACGGGCACGGATTCTGTCCAACGGGTCCTTCTCCCACATCTTAGGATCCCAAGCCTGGAACCAGCCAGTAAAAGTTGGGGGCTCTGCTCCTTGTTTGATGGTAGTGATGGGCAGACCTCTGCGGCCCGAGGGGTCTGAGTCCACGTAGTCTTTTGCTGCATGACAAGGAATGAAGAGAAGAAGCATAAAAAACTTTGACCACATTTGTGGAGGAAACAAACATCAATTTGCACTATTGTTGCATACAGCCTGAGAATTATTTTTTATACAATTACAACAAAAAACAAAACAATATATCCTCATAAATCCTGCAGTTAAACTACGTGAACATACAGAGATCACATTCTCTACTGTTTAGTGCGTATTTCTCTGAATGTGTTAATTTGATGAGAGAATTTTGAATCAGTGATACTGAACAATGATGGGGGGGGGGGACATTTCAAAACTACTACAGAATGCACCTCATCACTGCCACTGGCAACAGGTCTATGTTAAAGGAAATGTTTGACTTTCATATAGAGGAATGTTTGTGTGTAGCACACCTGATTAATCAGTATTTAACCTGCAGCAGACAAAGGTCAGCACAATCTCAGTTTGGAGACTTAAGAAACTTTCATAAAACACTGCAAGCCAGGAAATAGACGCCTTCTGATTTCAGAATGGACGCCTCTCCACATCTTCTGGTTCTGCAGCACTTCATTTCTGAAAGCTCACATCTGTGTGAGACGTCACCGGCTTCAGCTGAGATTTATAAACGGAGTATAAAACAAGATCAGTCTTTGCAGCCATTTTACAGAACTATTTTTGAAAAAGTGCTTCTTAGTCTTTCTCAACAATGATTCAATCTACTCAAAGCAGAGAACATTCAAGGGAAAATTTCCACTTGGAAAACTCAAACATTTGTTTATATCAGTTCAACCAGTCATTTTAACATCATGCTCACTTTGACTAAGAAGAAGTTGTGCATGAACGTCATCCAGAAACACTGCAGACGACTTTGGAGCAGAGCTAATTAAAAATGGACGGAGGCAAAGAGGAGCACTGCTCTGTGGTCAGATGAATCTAAATTTGAAATTTGTTTTGGTCATCACAGACACCACAGCCTCTGTACTCAAGAGGAGCGGGACCATCTGGGCTTTTGTTTACAATTGAAAAGCCTGCCTCTCTGATGGTATGGGTGTACATCAGTGCCTTTGGCATGGGCAGCTTACACATCTGGAAAGGCATCATCAATGCAGAAAAGTATTTAGAGGTTTTAGAACAACATGTGCTCCTTTGCAAAGTGCATCTTTTTCATGGAAGGCCTTGCATATTTCAGAAAGACCACGTTGAACCACATCCTGCGTCCATTACAACAACATGGCCCCACAGTCCAGTTCAGAGTCCAGGTGCTGAACTGACCTGCTTCAGTCCAGACTTCTCACCAAATTAAAATATTTGTAAATTAACTGTATTCATATATGTTTTAAAAAAACTTATTTTATAACAACTTCCACTTCATAAACTGATTTATTCCAAAATCTGACCTTCAAAAGCCTCAAAAGTGGCACAGAGTTGGATTTTGTCTTGAACTCCATTAATTATTCATTATTAAACTTAAGGGATAGTTCACTCATTTTGAAATGGTCTGAATAGAGCTAGTCTGAATAGAGCTAATCTGAATAGAGCTAGTCTGAATAGAGCTAATCTGAATAGAGCTAATCTGAATAGAGCTAGTCTGAATAGAGCTAGTCTGAATAGAGCTAGTCTGAATAGAGCTAGTCTGAATAGAGCTAGTCTGAATAGAGCTAGTCTGAATAGAGCTAATCTGAATAGAGCTAGTCTGAATAGAGCTAAGAGCAAAGGTGGATTGCAGCCGTCTTAAAACAACTCTAATCTTCAAAATGTCAAAGTGGTTCAAGCAAACACTATTTTAAATCTTCACACCGCTGTCAGTTTCACAGTGCACACTTATTCACAAAGAATTTAGTATTTTCAATATCTGTAGCCGCAGCGAGGTGCAGCACTTTTGCTGCAGTGTAGGGTCACTTCCAGCAGGAATAACAGGATACTGCCACAATACTTGTGTCATGTGAACTGAATGGCACTGGACAGGTTTAGGTTATCAGTCCCATCAGATTTAAACTTCATTTCTCAGATGTTGGCTGTTTCCTGCATCTCCTCATGACATCCTCTGAGCTACATCAAAGAAGAATCGTTTGAAAATGCTCAGATCTTAGATCATAACACACACACACACACACACACACACACACACACACACACACACACA